TACCGCAGATGATTATTCCTTTAACATTAACAAGTTCTTCCTGACCAAATAATTTAAAATCTACTCCGGTTTTGATTTCCATTAACTCATCATAGAGTGGCAGCAGAAACATATTAGCTGAGGGCTTTTCTTCTCCAAACCACATTGCAGCTAATATTAGGTTTTCCTTTTTGAATCGTTCGGAATATGGAAGTTCATTGATGACCAAATAAAACGGCCAGAAAGAAAATTTCGATTTGTTGAAAACTTGTACTCCATCAGTATACCAGGTAAATGATATATTGTTTGCGTCAGATAATAATTCCCCTGGTTCATTTAATTCATGATAAATAGATCCGTCGTATATGTCTTCAATGTTGTCTGGGAATAATTTTACTCTATTATGCCGATAATTTAATTTTTCTTTGAAACCATTTCTTGCATACATGGCGCGTAGTTGAGATATCACAGATATAGTCATAAAATAATTAGATTTCCCAACTGACCCACATATGGCACACTGTGAATTTTTATCATCTAAATTATTAAGACAGTCAGTGCAATAAAAATGCCTGTTGATTGGACTTTTTAATTCCTCGAAATAATTTTTGAATGTGTATAAAGATTGAACGCAGTGATTTGGCTCTGGACAGTGTAAATGAATCAATTGTAAAATGGATGCTAAAAGTACACCAGTAATTGTATGTCGAAGCGTCAGAGAAAGAATACTTAAAAGGCTCTCTGACAAAGTAAGTGGACATCCTTGAAAAAGTGGTGGATCTTCATTTATAGGTTCATTTTGCTCGTCTCCGGAGTCATCGGTATTAGTTCCACTTGAAAATTCGTCGGATAAAGCATCGGAAAAATCTAAAATTTAAAAATATATATTATACTATTTAATTAAAATCACAATATTATAAACGCCTTTAATAAGAATAATTACAAATAAGTAAACTTTGTATTCAGAATTTTTATCGATTTTTTACGAAATTTTAGTTGGTAATAATAGATTTTAGTACAAAATTCGTTCGGAAAAATTGTCGAAAATTTTCTGAAAAAATGATACATCAAACATTAGGTGTAAAATTTTTATCAAATTTCCAGTGGAATTTCTAAAAAATTTATTTTATCTTTCAAAAAACGTGCGGAATTAGTACAGATATTTGAACCTGAATTTAACAAAATTTAACTGAATTCTAAAGAATTTTGTCCGAATCATTTTTACCTAGGATTAATATTAACAGGGTTGCCACACTTTTCCTCATTTCAAATTCCCTGACTTTTGCAAGTTTTTCAGATTAAAAAACGAAATTTTTCCAGGTTTTTAAAACTAAATTTATATTTTATCAAATTGAATAAGTCCCTGATTTCCAGACATTTCGTTTTTAAATGAATATTCAATAATTATTATTTTTCTATAGAAATTAAAATTTTCAAAAATTTTTAATTCAATAACATAAAAGAATATTTATTATAAAACATGAAGATATCATTCTTCATGTTCTATAATAATTAAAACTTGATACTATCATTATTTTATATTATAGAAAATATTGTTAAACTGTAATTTCTTTAAAATTATTTTCATTTCAATTCAATTATTCATTTTTAGAATTTTTAACTAAAATTCTTCTTTAAATCAATTTTCTTAAATTAACTTTTGAGAAAGTTCTTTGCGAATTTTCAAATCCTTTTGTTTACAATTTAATTTTACCTAATTTCGATTATTCTGGCATTCTTCAGAATAATCTTCAGAATAATCTTCAGAATAATTTCAATTAAATAAAATAGAAATTAAAAACTTCCAATAATTAAAAAAATATTCTAATATAAACTGTTTGAGAAAAATTAATTCTAAATTTCCTTAAAAATCTTGTCAAGAATTTAATTATTTTTATAGATAATAAAATTATTCGTAGGAATTCAATTATTCTCCAAAATTTTGATTAAACTTCTTCAAAATAATTCAATTATTTTTTAAAATTGACAAAATTCTTCGCCAGAATTCCACTATTTTCAAAATTGATAAAATTCTCCGCAAGAATTCAATTATTTTCAAAATTGATAAAATTCTCCACAAGAATTCAATTATTTTCAAAATTGATAAAATTCTCCACAAGAATTCAATTACTTTCAATATTAATTTTTACGTAATTTTGAAAATTCTGAAATTTTTCAATTATATATATATATTATAAAATAAAAACTCGAAAAATTAAAGAAAAATTCAATTAAACTTTTTAAAAAAAAAGAATTCTACAGATTTGATAATTAAAAGTTTGAAAAGTTCAATTTTTCGAAGATTTTCATTTGAAACCTTTTCAAAATCCAATTATTTTTATAAATTTACTCTATATTGCTTTCAATATATTCAATAATAATCTAAAATTTTAACTGAAATTCTTTTTTAAATCAATATTTACTAGAAAAATCCACGAGAATTCAATTATTTAAATACAAAAATAAATATTTTATTAAATAATTGAATGTTTTTTGAAATTGAATTTTCATAAAGTATTTTAACAACAAATTTTTAAATAATTGAATTCTTTTGACAAATTTTAATAAAATTTGTGTCCATTTTTCGAGAAATTTGATAAAAATATTTAAAATAATTGAAATTCTGCCAAGAATTTTATTAAAATTTTTGAAAATAATTGAATTTCGGAAAAAAATTTGTAAAGATTATTGAAATTTTGACGAGAATTTTTGTAAATTGTTAAACACAATTAAATTTTTGCGAAGAATTATATTACTTTTGAAAATAATTGAATTCTTGAGACGAATTTTATTAAAATATTCTTCTTAAATAATTGAATTCTTTTATGAAATTTTATTGAAATGGTAGACATTGGAAATAACTTAATTTTGACAAATATTTGAAATTATTAAAATTTCTACGAAGAATTTTATTTAAATTATTTTTTTTTTAAATTGTGTTGTTTCGAAGAATTTCATTAAAATTGTTTTAAATAATTAAATTTTTTGAAGAAATTTAATTAAAACTGTATAGAAAATAATTTCGAGGAATTCTATTAAAATTGTATTAAAAATAATTTAAATTCAACATTGAGTTTTATTATTTATAAAAATAATTGAATCCCTGTAAAAAATTGTATTATCTATAAAAATAATTAAATGTTTGCGTGGAATTTCATTAAGATTTTTTAAATGATTGAATTCATTTAGAAAATTTTATTAAATTAGTAAATTTATTAAAAATAATTGAATTGAGGGAAATTTTTGAAAATAATCGACATTTTATCACGAATTTTATTAAAATTGTTGAAAATAATTGAATTTCTAAGAAGAATTTTACTACTTTTGAAAATAATTGAATTTCTGCAATTATTTATAATTGCTTCAAAATCCAATTTGTTTTAGTGTTTTTAATTAAAAATTTTCTATAAATCCATTATTTTTAATAATCAATTGAAAATATATATTAAAAAATTTAAATAAATTTCAGAAGAATTGTAATAATTGAAATTTTTTCAAAAACCGACGTTCATTAAGACGATTTCTAATTAAATTCATTCACAATTGAAATTTTACAAAATTTAAAATTCAAACCTTTGAAATTCATTTATACTTACGAAAATTGTAAACGCAACTCTTTTTAAATTTAATTAATTTTGAAATATTTATGTAAAATTAGATTTCAAGAATAAACTTTAGAAAATAACAAATTTTCCAGGAATTCGATAAAGATTCCCTGACTTTTCCAAGTTTTTTCAAGGTTTATAAAATTCCCTGATATTTCCAGGTTTCCAGGTTGCGTGGCAACCCTGATTAACTATTAAGCAATTAACTAAATAGTTTGTTAAATGTTCATTAAAAATGCGTTATCATTACCTTCATCAATTGACACGTTGGAAATGTCAGATTCTGATCCAGATGAATCAGAAGAAGTTTCATTAAGTGAAGAAACAAATGAACTGTCAGAAGAATCACCATTATTAAAGTTTATCAATGAACCATTGGAAACACCACTACTGCTGTCATCATCATTATTAATGTCAACATCACCATTAACCTCGCCATGATCATCATCATCATCGTCATCATTATCGATTTCGTCGTCATCGTCATCATCATCGATTTCGTCATCATCGTCATCATCATCATCATCGATTTCGTCATCATCGATTTCATCGTCATCTTCATTATCGTTATCATTATTATTGTTGTTGCCATCACCATTGTCGCCACCATTAACTGCATCATCGTGATTATTATCATCTTCATCATCACCATTATCAATCATAGAATTACTACTTGCTGCAGCATTTCCAGGGCCAATCTCATTATCATCTTCACTTGTATCCACGTTTACATTTTCCAACTAATAATACATTTAAACTTATTTAATTATTTTACTTTTTCAATTTTTATTTGCTTATTCATTACTTTTCTTAATTATTTATTCATAATAAAATTTTTAAAAAATATTTATATTTATATCTATATAACTTTTTTGTAATTTTGACAGTAGTAATTTGACCGACCAACTTCAAAAACTTATTTAATTATATTTTTGATTTTTCTACAATGTAATTATTAAAAAACAATAATTCAACTACTTTAATTAAGAATAAATTATATTTTATACACTAAAAAAATGTTTTGATTCAATTAAATGGTTTAATTTTCTATTATCCATTAAATATTTATTTAAACTAAGAAAATATTTAATACACATAATTATTTTAATTTATAGTATCAAATAAATAGTTATTTGTATAAAATGCGAATTACTTAAATTAATAAATAAAATAATTGGATCTAATAAATATTGCTATGAATCAATTAAAAAAATAAAAATTATTTCAATCAAATAAACTTTTTTCAATGTATATATTTTTTTCTAATTATTATTTTATTTTTTCTAGTAATTTAATTATTATTATTCATTTATTATTTTAGATTAAAATTAATTAATGTAAAGAAAAAATATTAACATATAATTACACTTCTTGTAGCAATTTTAAAAATTATTTATATAAATATTTTTTCAAACTCACAGAATTTAAAGAATCAACAGAGTCACTTGAACTTTCTCTTTCTAAAGATGCTATTATTTTGTTTTGATGACTTACAGAGTATTCTTCGAGGTTTCTGTATCGTCGCCGCATTATTAATAAAAATAATTAATTCTACAAAAAACGGTAAAAAATTGATTTTTGCAATTGAAAAATATCATAACCGCTTTTCAAATTGAGAAAATTTGAAATAAAACATTCATTTTTTTTCTTCTATTGCAAATATCGTGTTATTTGATGAGCTAATTTCAAATGACATTCTTTTTTTATCCTACGGCTAAATTCGCGTTGTTATTAATGTCATTGAAATTTTGCCAATTTGCTTAAGTTCTTCGTTATAATATAAAATGTTTCTTCTTGTGAAGTGGGATGAACATAATTCTGTGACGGTTTTAAAGGAAACCGAAGAACAGAAATCGAAGGAAATTGGCGATTCAATCACGGTTTTTTACGGAAAAGAACCTTATAAAGGAGTAATAATATCTCGGAGTGGTTAGTATAAACATTGAATAAAAATTTTTGTAGACAGTAATAATTATAATAATGAAGACAAAGAAACATTTTTTTAAGCAGTTAAAATTTTTATGTATTTATCTACAATTAAAGTTATATAAATTATATAAAATTTTACAATTTTAACCTCAAATTTTCAGAGAATGAAGCGTTTTTGAAAACACTAACAGTGAGCAATGAGGGGGAAATTTTGATGGATCAAAAAAAGGAGTTGAGTACATCATTACTATCAAAACGAAAGACCAGTAAATCAGTTGATAAGAAACTCCAAATGCTGAGGAGTAAAAATGATGCAACAATAAATTCAAAAATTAAAGATTTATCAAAAAACATCAGTCAAAATCCAAAAACGAATGACGTGAAAGGTACTACAATTTCATTAAAATAATTAAAATTTTTAATTTTAAATATATAAATAATAAATTAATACAAATAATTAATTTGTAAATAAATAATATTGAACTAATAAAATTTAAAAATATAATAATAAATAAAGTAATAAAATAATAATAAATTAACACATTTCAAAAATATAAATATAAATAAAGTAATAAAATAAGAATAATAAATTAATACAATTTTAAAATATACATAAAGTAATAAAATAATAAGAATAAATTAATAAATTTTAAAAATATAATAATAAATAAAGTAATAAAATAAGAAGAATAAATTAATCAAATTTAAAAATATAATATAGGTGAATCGAAAAATGAGCAGCAAATAGGCGCGAAGAATCAACCAAAAATAATATCAGAAGAAGGAGTTTCTTCAAAAATAAAAATCGTGAAACCCGTATGTCAAGAGAAGAATATGGACAATACGTCAAAAGAAGAAAATGCAGCAGCGCTAAAATTAAAACAGACGATGAGAGCAAAAACGAATAAATTATTCGAAAAGCATTTGCTAACTAATAGGGATCTTCAGTGCAATTTAGGTAGTAATTAATTGTTTTTAAATTAATAAAATTTATAAATATAATAATAAATAAAGTAATAAAATTTTTTTTTTAATAAATTAATAAGATTTAAAAATATAATAATAAATGAAGTAATAAAATAAGAATAATAAATTAGTAAAATTTATAATATAATAATAAATAAATTAATAAAATTTAAAAATATAATAATAAATAAAGTAATAAAATAAGAATAATAAATTAATAAAATTTAAAAATATAATATAGGTGAATCGAAAAATGAGAAGCAAATAGGCGCGAAGAATCAACCAAAAGTAATATCAGAAGAAGGAGATTCTTCAAAAATAAAAATCGTGAAACCCGTAAGTCAAGAAATACCAAAAGAGAAAAAAAACAACAAATTGGAAAAATTGGTAAAAACTGGTGATACAGAAAATAGGAATAAACAAATCGAGAAAAAAAATAGTAAAAAAACACAAAAAGAACAACAAGAACAGCATAAAATTTCAAAAGAGAATAAAAACAGCGAATTGGAAAAATTGATAAGAACTGGTAATGCAGAAAATAGAAATAAAGAAATCGAGAAAATAAATAATAAAAAAACACAAAAAGAACAACAAGAACAGCAAGAAATGTTAAAAGAAATCGAGAAAAAAAATAATAAAAAAACACAAAAAGAACAACAAGAACAGCAAGAAATGTTAAAAGAAATTGAGAAAAAAATAATAAAAAAACACAAAAAGAACAACAAGAACAGCAAGAAATGTTAAAAAAAATGGAGAAAATAAATAATAAAAAAACACAAAAAGAACAACAAGAACAGCAAGAAATGTTAAAAGAAATCGAGAAAAAAAATAATAAAAAAACACAAAAAGAACAACAAGAACAGCAAGAAATGTTAAAAGAAATTGAGAAAAAAAATAATAAAACATCACAAAAACAACAACAACAAGAACAGCAAGAAATGTTAAAAGAAATTGAGAAAAAAAATAATAAAAAAACACACAAAGAAGAACAAGAACAGCAAGAAATGTTAAAAGAAATTGAGAAAAAAAATAATAAAAAAACACAAAAAGAACAACAAGAACAGCAAGAAATGTTAAAAAAAATGGAGAAAATAAATAATAAAAAAACACAAAAGAACAACAAGAACAGCAAGAAATGTTAAAAGAAATCGAGAAAAAAAATAATAAAAAAACACAAAAAGAACAACAAGAACAGCAAGAAATGTTAAAAGAAATTGAGAAAAAAAAAATAAAACATCACAAAAACAACAACAACAAGAACAGCAAGAAATGTTAAAAGAAATTGAGAAAAAAAATAATAAAAAAACACACAAAGAAGAACAAGAACAGCAAGAAATGTTAAAAGAAATTGAGAAAAAAAATAAAAAAACACAAAAAGAAGAACAAAAACAGCAAGAAATGTTTAAAAAAATAGAGAAAAAAAATAATAAAACATCACAAAAACAACAACAACAACAGCAAGAAATGTTAAAAGAAAAAAAAAATAATAATAAAACAACACAAAAACAACAACAAAAACAGCAAGAAATGTTAAAAAAAAAAATAATAATAATAATAAAACAGCACAAAAAGAAAGAAAAAGCTGCAAATCAGAAAAATTTATTAAGAATGATGCATCAGAAAATGAAGAGAACAATGAAATTGACAAAAATAATGAAAAAGAGGAAAAAATTCAGAAACTAAATAGTTTTCAATCGATGCCTTCTACCTCCTTCTCAGATGGTATTACTGATAACTTAAAACCTACATCCAAAGAGAATATTCAGAAAAGGTTAAGGAATGAGGAGTACCAAGAGCAACCTTCAGGTATAAAAAAAATATTTTAATTGGTTAAATTTATATCCTCAAATCTTTAGAAATGCAAATTCTACAATTCTTAAAATTTTCCTGTTGTTTTATTTTATTTTTTTATCATAATTTATGATATTAATGTAAAATAAATAAACAATCGAGGGAAGTAAAAGTCAATTTGTTAGCTTTTAATACATTTTTAAACATATTCAACAATATAAATAGGATATAAAAAATTATTTGACAAATAGATTATAGTTTTCTTAAAGTTAACCGTTTTTTCTTCAAATAAGGTAGGAATTCTGTGAAACTAAAAAATTCTTGAGATTAATTTCTTAATTTTTTCTATTAATTTTTTGAATAATTTGAAATATTAAAAAAAAAGAATTTAACGTTTCTAATGTTAATTATATTATTTTTTTGACATGTATATATTACTATTATTTTTTACAGCTAAGAAGGCAAAGGTTGATGATGACCATGAGATTGGAGCTTTGAATGCTTCAGGTATATTTTTTAAATAAATAAATAAAATAAAAAATAATTTGGTAATTTTGCGAATTTGTTTCTAAAATATGTTTTACATGTTCTTTCTTCATTTAAGCCCAAAAATAGTCTCCATTCCAAAATAAAAGTAATTATGTAATACAAAAATTATATTTTTCTTTTAGACCAAGAGGAAATACAAATCACAATCGATCAACATATTCCAACATCTGATAATCATAGCTTAGAATTAATATTTGAAGATTTAGGTAAAATTATATTAAATATTATATTTGTTAAACCTGTGCAAAAATCTCGAAAAGCCGAGCCGAGCCGTACTTTTTTCGAGCCGAGTCCGAGCCGGCTGGATGTATCGTTTACTCGAAATTTTCAAGGACTCGAGCGATTTCGAGTAATCGAAAAATTCAAGTACTGCGGTCAATTCGAGTACTCGATTAAATTCGAGCACTCGAGTGAATTCGAGTACTCGATTAGATTCAAGCTTTTAAATTACAAAAAAAATATTAATAAGTACAAAATTTCGAATTTATGCGGTATATTGAATCAATAAACTAAATAAGTATTAAAACAGTATTTTAATTTTCTCTAGAACTCGAGCTTCGAGCTTCGTGCTTTTTGGACAGCTCTAATATTTGTGAAGTTATGTTTATATTTATTACAAGAATTAATTTTCTTCTTAATTTAAAGAAATAGATTCAAAGACAATCACATTTTTTGAAAGATTAACTGAATGGATGAGGAATAAGGCGAATCAACCAATCATCAAAAAAATAAATGTACTTTTATTATATTATATAATTTTATTATACAATTTTAACTTTACTTTTAATAAGCAGAAATTACGATTTAGCCTAAGATTTATAGAAATTAGAAACTTATTAATTTTTTTAATACAATATCTATCATCAGATAGCCTACTTAATTAAAAATATTTTTTTAAACTCTTTCTCAGGAAAAGGAACGTCCAGTTGACGATACCCAGTCAAAGACACAACTTAAAAAAGGATTGCCGGTATATGTCTCAACATCTAAATTGATAATTATGCAACGCTTGAGAAACAAACCAAATGATTTGGCACGAGCTCTTCTAATAGAGTTGGTTGGCGACGAAAATTTAAAAGAAATGTGTGCAAAGGGAAGAAGAAAGAGAGGAAGGCCGGCAGTTCCTGCAGATATTAGAGAAGCTATTCTTTGTAAGTAAAAAATAAAAACAATAAAGCAAACTTCCTTATGAAGTATTTCATGATTTTTTAGAAATATAAAATTTTAAATATATGTACCATCTAAATAATTCAATACAAATATCTATTCGTGAAAATAAAAATTTAACGAAATATTAATTTTATAATTTGGAAATTTCTCTAATTTAATATTCTGTTAATTAAAATTTGTAATAAATACAAATTCATTGAAATTCAACTTTTCTTACATAAAAATTTTGTTTAATATAAATTCAATAAGTTAATTTATATTCGATTAGTTACACGAAAATTCTGTAAAATGAAAATACTATTCTTTCATAGATTACGTACAACGGAAGAAAAGCAAAAACACGGATGATTTTAAAGAAAAACATTTAACTAAGTTAATAAACAATACGTGTGGGACTTTGCGTCACCCTAGATGTACTTCGGAGGAGGAAAATGACAAGGCTTTAACTATGGTAAGCTTTAGCAAGGATGAATCCAACCTATAAACGAAAGTATTTCAGTTTGAAATGTTTGGTATAGTCACTTGTTAGTTATTTGAAATATCTTACATTAAGATTTCTGTATATATTTTCCAGAGAAAAAAATTTAGGGTTAACTAAGGGGCTTTATACATAAATAACTTTCTGTATTTTATATTTTAGTAACTTTTACAACTCTGGCGTACTAATTATTATTATTATTATTTATTTATTTATTAAATTCTTTTCAATTTTTGCAGCGCAAGAACAACAAGAACGGGAAAGAGAAAAAAGATGAAATGGATGAAGAAGAAAATGATTTAGAAGAGAGTAATTGCGAGGACAAGAACGGGGAAGAGAAAAAAGATGAAATGGATGAAGAAGAAAATGATTTAGAAGAGAGTAATTGCGAGGACAAGAACGAGGAAGAGAAAAAAGATGAAATGGATGAAGAAGAAAATGATTTAGAAGAGAGTAATTGCGAGGACAAAAACGGTGAAGAGAAAAAAGATGAAATGGATGAAGAAGAAAATGATTTAGAAGAGAGTAATTGCGAGGATGTAACAGACGAAGAGGAGAATGATGAAATAGAGGACAATGAGGAATATTTTAGCGAAGATGACAAGGGTGAAACGGAAAGTGATGCAGAAGGAACAGATTGAAAGAGATTTTTATTTTGCGTTTAAATTTAATTTCTTATTTTGAATAATTCCGTTTATTTAAATAATTCCGTTAAGGTTTTGCGTTCGAATTTTGAAATTTTTGAGAGAGCAAAGCCATATTTTAAAAATATCTCCTTCATTTTGGCATCCCGAGTCGAAATTTAAGCCCTACTTTAAGCCTGAATTTTCAGGGTTTGTTGACTTTTAGGAGTAGTAAAGGAGGTTCTAACTTCAATGCAATTAGGCCTTACTTTGAGTCCAAAAATCAGCTGAAATTTGCCAATCTTCCATTTGGAGAACTAAAGGAGGGCCTAATTCGAAGAAACCTATACCTTACTTTATAAACCTCGTAGACCCTACTTTCATACTCCTAGACCCTACAATTAGAAAAAGAAAAACTTGAAGATTTGCTCAGATTCAATTGAAGCACTTGGGATGAGTAAAAGTGGAATTTTATGTGTTTCATAGCGTCTATATACAGTTCGTATAGACGCTATAAAGCACATCAGCATTTGTCAATTAGGAGTACTTTTTGCATTTTCAGTGTTTCAAGCAATGCATTAAGAAAATAATTTAAAATTATACTTCAGAATGTAGGGTCTAGGAGTATGAAAGTAAGGTATACGAAATTCGAACTAGACCCTCCTTTAGTTCTCCAAATGAAAGATTGGCGAATTTCAGGTTGGATTTTGTATTTTTATTTTGCTGACTTCGGGACTCAAAGTAGGGCCTAATTGCATTGAAATTAGAACCTCCTTTACTACTACTAATAGTCAACAAACCCTGAAAATTCAGGCTTAAAGTAGGTCTTAAATTTCGACTCGGGATGCCTTTATTTTTGCTTATTTAAATTTCTGTTTAAAATAAAAATTTATATATTATAGTTATAATTTATAATATAATAAAATTAATAAAAAATACATTTTTCCTTTTGTCAATACTTTGTTTGCTATATCCCATAGTCCAACCTTTAAAAATTTTAACATACACTCAATATGATTAAACCATAGGCTTTTACACATGACTGAAATTTTGATTATTTTTACCATAAAAAACTGATTTGCCATACTTTTATTTTCACGCGGAAAAATTGAAAGTAAAATGAAAAATTGTGGAAAAATTTTAACTAGCTTCTTCACATACTTTTCCAGACTTTGAAAAATACGAAAAAATTAAAAGTAAAACGAAAAATTTCCAAAAAGCTGATTCTAACTTCTCCCCATACTTTCTAAGACTTTGGAAAAAAGGAAAAATTTGAAAATAAAACCGATTTGCCTGAGCCCATACTTTCTAAGCTTTTGACATTATTCTTTGCTGTACTCGAACAATGGGATTTGCTCATTAGCCATTGTTTGTCAGCTTTAAGAAGTTTGGCAGTTGGCTGATGTAGAATTGCAGTCAACTTGTATTATCTTTCAACCATACTTGGTCAGTCTGAAAACATACTTCTCTAGACTTTAATATCTTTTAGCCATACTTTCATTTTCACGCGGGAAATTTCTCGGAAACCTAGGGTGATGGAACAATTCTGATTACGGATTCGTGTTCAGCATCATAAAATCTAGAAGAATCACTCTATGCGATCCCAGAAATAATAAAAAAGTGAAATTCTGTTGCACTGTGTATTTGGTTGTGTATATCCTCTGTTGGTTAGGGTCTTTGCATTGCATCCGTCAAACCCGGGTTCAATTCCCAGTCCTCTCGAATTTAACAATTTAATAATATAATAAACCTATTTGCAGCAAGTTTGACGTAAGCTTGCAATCTTGTCACAATTTAACAATAAAATCTTTATTTTCATTTCCAGAAACTTTTTCCTATCATAAATGTTTATAATTTTTTTATTCATGTTTATTTGATTTTTGGATAAATTTGCTTTTAACTACGATATTTTGAAATAATCCGTGTAGAAATTTCCACATTTCGTCCAAGATACTTATCTGGCCCTGATCGGATTTTCCAAATCGGGCCCCAGCTTATAAAATCTTATGGCACAGACTGCCCAGGTGCGAATTTAGGTTGGCCGCCAGAGTTTGAAGGTTGGCCCAAGGTTGGCCTAACTTTGGCAAGCAAAGTTTTGGTTGCCAGAGTTTGCCCAACTTTGGCAAGTACTTGTGCCCACAGTTGGCCCGACTTTGCAAGCCAAACATTAAATGCAGAGTTTAACCAACCGTCGGGCCAACTTTGGCGACAAAGGTTGGCACAACTTATCCAAACGTAGTTTAAAAGACTTTCAGTTTCGGTTGGCCGAACTCTGGGCCACGGTTGGCCCAACGGTTGGCAAAACTATGTGAAACACAGTTTAATTGACTTACATTATTTTGGTTGGCCGAACTCTGGGCCATGGTTGGCCCGACGGTTGGCAATACTATGTGAAACGCAGTTTAATTGACTTAAACTTTCTTGGTTGGCCGAACTCTGGGCAACGGTTGGCCCAACGGTTGGCAAAACTCTAGAAACGCAGTTTAAATGACTTAAACTTTCTTGGTTGGCCGAACTCTGGGCCACGGTTGGCCCAACGGTTGGCAAAACTCTGTGAAACGCAGTTTAATTGACTTAAACTTTCTTGGTTGGCCGAACTCTGGGCAACGGTTGGCCCAACGGTTGGCAAAACTCTAGAAACGCAGTTTAAATGACTTAAACTTTCTTGGTTGGCCGAACTCTGGGCCACGGTTGGCCCAACGGTTGGCAAAACTATGTGAAACGCAGTTTGATTGACTTAAACTTTCTTGGTTGGCCGAACTCTGGGCCACGGTTGGCCCAACGGTTGGCAAAACTCTAGAAACGCAGTTTAATTGACTTGATTTTTCTTGGTTGGCCGAACTCTGGGCCACGGTTGGCCCAACGGTTGGCAAAACTTTGTCAAATGCGGTTTAAATGACTTAAACTTTCTTGGTTGACCGAACTCTGGGACACGGTTGGCCCGACTGTTGCAGCTTAAATATACATTTTGCGTTATGCACTCCCATGTGAGCGTAGCGTAGTGGTCAGTGTATTGTAAGTTGGGCCAACTTCCTTATGAGTTGTCGGGCCAACCATCGTCGCCATTAGACGGTCGCCGTTATCATCTGTATGGTTGGCCCAACCTCTGGCACGAGAAGTTGGACCGACTTTGTAAAAGTTGGCCCAACTATGGGCCGACCAAAAAATCGCACCTGGGTGGGACCAGAAGTTGTGGGGAAAAACAAGAGAATTACCGGGAACTGAATAAAAAATATGTAATAAAATATGTAATATTCGCTATCTCGTGCAAAGTAGGGGAGCGTGGGGTAATGGGAGCTTTTAAATTTCACGTACACTGTAAAAAAAGGGAGTTAAATTTTAACTCCACCAGGAGGTCTATAAAAGTCGCACCCATTGGGGAGTTAATGCGAGGGAAGTTAAATAAAGAGAGTTAAAATTTCACACCCAAATGCTAACTCCCCAAGGAAAAAATAACTCGCGCGGGTGTTGAATGAAGGGAGTTAGAAATTAACTCTCTTTTGGAGTTGATTTTTAACTCGAAAAATTTAACTCCCAACTCCCGAGTCCGTTAAGGGTTCATACTACTTTGTCATCTTCAAAAAAGCAAAATTTTTTTTATTACGGATTTCGAAAGCAAAATATGTCAAAAATGTGGTGTAAAATTTTTAGAAAGATCCCTGCACTCAAAATATATTTTTGTCAATGCTATTTGAGCGCGTACACAGCTACGTAAGTATACAACACAAAGTTTAAACGCGTTTTTCTCAAAACCACATTTTTCCATGCTGCGGGATGTTTTTCTCGGAAACTACTAAACCGATTCTAAAAATTTTTTTACGAAAATCTTCGTCACATGGGTGGGTATCGCCGGAACTAGAATTATTTAAAAGAATTAATTTTTACTATTTTTTTAAACCGAAAAACTGCCAAAAAAAACCTTAATTTTCGAAAAAAAAATTTTTAATTGCCGCCATTTTATTATTTTTGCATAAAAATTAAAAATTCTAGTTCGAGCGATAGTTACAGTCCTACTGAAGATAAAGCAACTTGAATTTTGTGTTTTAGATTTTTCTAACCTGAGAAATCAATCCCGCAGTTGGCATCGGTATTTTTAGCAGGTCTAAAATTATAGTTAAATCTTAAATAAACAAATAATATTTTTTTAATAAAAAAAGGTTTTTTATAAAGTGAAAGAGTGTATTTATTGAACTAAAAAAAATGCAGATTAATATAATCCATAGGAATCGTAAAAAGAAATTCTAGAAAATAGCTTCATTTTCAAGCGTGTGAAGTGGTATGAATCCTTAACTCCCTAAATTTTTTACAGTGTACTTAAAAGCCTTCAAATTCGCTGCAATGTTTAGAAAATCTTCTACAACCTTTGTTTATATCATTCCAAAACAAACGATCACATTCTTGACAAATTTTTAGTAAAAACAAGGGAAAATGTATTTTTTGAGTTTTCGTTGTAAAATGCAAAATATTTCTAAACATCACCATAAGTAGTTCAAATCGTATTATTTAGATCTGTTTTTTTATTATATTATAGGTGAATATGTGTGGATATGTATACTTGTATAAAAATCGAGATAATAATAAAATTTGTTTATGTTTTTATTTTTTTATTCAAATTTTGTGCTGTAAAAATTCTGTGGGGTAATGGGAGAATTAGTGTCAGCCCAAAGAATTTTCATTACTATGTTACGCCTTTCGTTATTTCTTTGAAAATTGTAAAAGATATCACTTTATGAACAAACTTTTAATTAAAAAATAATTTTTGGTGGAAAAAATGAAAAATTTAATTTTTTTTCAAAAATTTTGTATTCAATTATAATTTAGGAAAAAATTTATTCTAAGTCTAAAGTTTTGGCTTTTTTGTAAGTATTAACACTTTTTTCTATTAGAAAACAAAAAATATTCCTAAAAACTAAAAAAATTTTAAGTTTCAAGTGAAAGCTCCCAATACCCCACAAATTGGGTGATGGCAAAAAATGTACTTTTTTATGAAAATTTTTTTTTTTACAATTTACTTTCTCTTTTTAAGTTTTTAATTAAACATAATTAAAGATGAATAACGAAATGAGTAGAAAATGACGAAAACCATGTATTATTCTGCCGTCCAAAGGAAAAAGATATACATAAGCGACATTTTTGAAAAAATTGAGTTTTTGGTATCATTGGATTCATAAAAAAGCTGCATTTAACTGTGTAAAAAAGAATTAAAAAATTTAATTATTTATTGCAAAAAAAGATTGTTTAAAAATGACAAAAATGGAAAAAGTGACGAAATACAGAGTTAAAAGATACATAAAACACTTTGTGCAACACCTGTAAGGAAAGTAATACTTTGCATGCCTGTAAAGTAGGCGCAAAACAGTACTTTGCTGCACTAGTGCGGCAAAGTGCTTATTTTGCTGCACTAGTGCGGCAAAGTGCTCACTTTGCTGCACTAGTGCGGCAAAGTTCTTAAACTTTTGGGGTTTTTTGGTGATATACATAGGTATTTGTTTTCTATTTGTAGAATACCTGTTTTTTACAGTAATATACGCGTAGAAAACCACGTATATTACGTGCGGTAACATACGTTTCAAACCCTGTTAAACAGTACGTATGTTGGCGTCAACTAGCTTTTTTTAAACAGCTTTTTTTATCAAAACCAAAAGGTGTTGCACAAAGTACTGTGTGCAACACGTACGAAAGAAGATTTTCCGACTTCGTGCAAATTGCTGCCCTCGCTTCGCTCGGGACAGCAAACTTTGCACTCGTCGGAAAACAGCTTCTTTCTGTACTTGTTGTACAATATACTATTGTGGGTTCATATTTCGGTAAACGACGCTGCATACGTCACCAACTTACAGGACAAAATGA